CTTGATAAGGTTGTTTTTACAACGTAAATTTTATTCGTTGTAATCAGTCGATCTATTTATCCCATTAGTGGCGAGGCGTGAATGGTCAGTCGTCGATGGTACACGGACTTTATGTCCGCTTTTTTTACGTCCACAGACTTTTCGTCCACAATTTTTACGTCTACAGTTCTGAAGCCCACACTATTGTTAAGTCCATTACTTAAACGTCCACTAACTTAAGTCCGCAAATGTAAAGTCCACTAAAATCAAATTCAAGAGTCATATTTTAGTCCGTGTGTAAAATTATATTGACAATATTGAAATGAGAAAATTAAGAGAGAATGAGGTGTTGTTATCGTAACTCATATTTTAAATGAAATGTTAATTTCTTCTTCTGATTCATTTTTGCAAATTGTCTTTGGTAAAGACTTGGTTTCATTTCTATCCTTGAGATTTCCGATATAAAATATGCCCTAAATGTACATTATTTTTTTTTAATGAAATTGATTACTTCATTTTAAAAACATTTACATTTTTAAAACGTGTTAAATATTTGTAAAACCTTCTTCAAGCAATGGCATCGATATGAATCTCAGCGAGCCGTGGTTGTGATGAAAGAAACTATACAAAAATTGATAAAAGCGGAAAAAAACTAAGAAGCACGCAATTTTTTGTTTTTAACTTATTTGTACATCGACCTTCTCGGGTCAAATACGTCCAATTTTGAGCGTTTAGTTGCGCTCACACCACGCTGCAGCAGTGTTTCCCCACTCAATTTTTCCTGCTGAAGCCGAATATGACCTCAGATTTTTTCTAGAAATTACACATTTTTCGAAAAATGGATTTTTCCGGAAAAAAGTGTTTTTCAATGTAAAATCCCATATAAAAAAGATGGCTCTGTCGGCACGGGTTAATATTATCCGATTTGGCTGAAACTTGGCAGAGAGTGTTTTTTGATCAAATGGAACAGTTCTAGGGGGTAAGACCAAAAAAATTCGCAAAATAAATTTTACTGTGTATAATTGGGCCACCCTACTGCAGCACAGTAAAAGCCCAAAACAAAAACGAATAAATTTGAATGCTTTGGAAATCATTAAATTTGACACGGAACGACTATTATATTTACAAAAAACATATTATATTTTCCAGTAGTACATATTTCTTTTTCATCAGTTCAAAAGGGAATAATCAATGCAGAGAGTGCAAGAATTTCAAAATCATGAGTTGAAAAACGCTGACTCCGCGAGTTTAAATATTAGAGCCTAACACAGAGCGGAGCGGCGTGTTAGCAGCGCAGAACGCGCACTGGCGCCTACAAACCTAACGGGATACTCCACGCATTGCGCAACGCGTTAAGTGTCCCGTTAGGTTTGTAGGCGCCTATGCGCGTGTCACGCTGGTTACCTGCCGCGCCGCAATGCTTTAAGCAACTATTTCGCGTCAGAGGCGTTGCACAGTATCCTACAAGATTGAAGGCGCACGAAATAACTAGTCAAAGAGGACTTTCAATTTTGACTGCATCTATTTCTGAAAAATGTTTAATTTGGCATTGGAGCGTTTCCTAGGCTCCCGCTTTGGTTTACCTCTTATCATATCCGTACAGTGTACACATGAACATATGTTTTTATCTGCTCTTAGAGTCTGTTCTCTTTCATGACTTGATTCATGAATGAAATGTTTTTAAGAATGAAGGTAGTAGTAGTATGCATTTATTTTTGAGATGGTTCTTGTCATTTAAATGAGAAGAAAAAAATTTGGACATAACATGTCCACAATTTGGACAATTTTGGACATATTCATGGTTGGACATTAAATCATGTGGACTTAATAAAGACTGGACTTAACGTTTAGTGGACATAATAACGGTGGACATTAATTTAATGGACGAAAGGTAGGTGGACATAAAGTCCTTGAAGCTCGTCGATATTTTCTCATTTGAAGCTGTGGTGAAGAATCGATTAAAAATCGAGGTTTACGTTGCGAACATCCTGTTGATCGATAATTTTCCATAGATTTTGATGACAGATGAATCGATAAATCGCAAAGCATGCCACGCCACACAGGATCTCATGAGTATTCTCCACAGCAAAACCGGGAATTAGCGAGGGTCGTATTTTTCTTGTGAATGGTTTGGATGAAGATCTCTCTTTAATTTGACGATTGGTATTTTTCCAGATCCGAGATTGGCTGACGTTGGAGGAAGAGATGTTGAAACAGCAATCCGTCACCGTCGGTGATGTTCCCGCAATCCTACAAGTCCTTGACAAACAAAAGGTAAATGCACACCTCTATTTTCCTCAGCGGCGGATCCAGCAGTTCGGCTACACAGGATTTCCTTCATTTAAACCTATGTTCAATAATCGATTCTTTTTGAAGCACCTGCCCCCTTCAAGAATCGATATATTTCCATTGGTTTAAATGGAGTTAAAACAATGTTGCCAGTTTGCTGAATCCGCTAATGATTTTCTAGTTATCTCATTAACCATGTAGCTTTACTCGCAGGAATGTTGGCGTCTAGTGATATGAGAAAAAACAACGATAGTCTACTTCGACTAGTCTATTAGTCTATTAGTACTTCGCTCCATGTAGACGCATTTTTGTCTCATTTAATTATTTCATAGCCCCTTAAAATGGACACCAAACGGATTCGTTAACTTACTCTCTAAACCTTCGAAAATTGAATTCGGAAGCAAAGGAGGGTAAAAGTAGAATTCCCCTTAAAGTATAACCATTCCTTTAGTGGTCATAGATTGAGGAAATGAGGAGTGCATATGTGTAAGCGCTGCAGGACACTTTCGTCATGCCTCGATGTTTCAGAGTAATATCGGTCGATTTAATACAAAACTGTGCTGAGCAACCAAGTCCTTTGCGTTGATCTGACACATAGAGAAGTAACACAGAGTAACATAGAACCTGTACATTTTTAACCGTGTATTTCTAAAGCTAAAATGTCAATATGGTCTTGGCAATCTGCTTTGATTCCTCACAAAAAATGATTTTTCAATGAATCAGACTACCTATTAGCGAGTGAACTTAAAAGGGCATAAAAAATCTAGGGAAGCGTTTTTTATAACTGAAAAGGCTGACCATAGTCTGAAAGGTTGATCTGGTTGTGTTTCTGTTCTTATTTCAACCTTTTCAAACCTACTTTCTAGTAAACTATCAGGGTGTCTACAAGCCCGGAATTTCCGGAAGTAGCACTGATTTTTACAGAGCGGTCCGTAAGTACTGAAAAACTGCGGAAACTCCGCAAGAAGGTCCGGGATATTTGTCATTTTTATCACAATCTGAGCGAGAAATTCAAATTTCTGAAATTTTTTGAATTTCGTCAAATGAAGTTCCTGGAAAAGTACTGAATTTTTCTGTTGATGAGGTACTGAATTTCTTGGGAATGTACTGAACAAGTACCGCAAAAGTACTGATTTTTGGCCAGCCTGTTTTAGTAGATACCCTGACTATCCTTGTAATCCATCGTTGAAAGGGGCTGATACGTAATGTTTTTCTTATCACTCAATGCGACCTTCAGTAAAACGGTTTCTGTGGTGTTGAGGTCCGCTCTCGCTTAATTTTTAGCCGTATCCGGTCGGTAGAGGTTTGAATAGCCCATACACGGCAGCCCCACTTGACTGTGTTGAGCACCACCTCACCTCTCAGACCCTGCTCTCAGCCTTTTCAACGATGCAGTCATCCACAGCGCCACATTCGATATTTGTTGCCCGGTGGAGTTGACTCGAGTATAGTCGGGATCGAGGAGGAGGTGTTCCAGTGGCTTGGCGTGCTATGCGATGTATCGATTGATCTGCCATTGAAACCTATTGAAAATGATCGATTGTCAGGGTGTTTTAAATAAATGCCCCAGTAATCGATTCTTTACTATAGCTTCAAATTGGGAAATACCGATTGTTGATGATGAATGTCTCGCTACTGTGGCGTTCGTGTACACGAGGAGACGCTGACAAAAAACGGGGAACCAGAAACAATGGGCTTAAAATGAGGGGCTCAGAGGACAAGGCGCACAAGTGCAGTTTTTGCTACTTCGAGAAATACGCGCTCCAAGTTTCTGAATTAAATGGATCCGTACGGTGGAAAGAAAATTCAAACTGATTTTTTGATGCTTAAAAATTGGAACTTACGAGCGAAATTTGTATCAAATTTGCATTTAGACTAATTTTACTTGATTTCATTAATATCTCAATTTTTTCAAAAACTGCACTTATGCGCCTTTTGCGATGTTTCTGTGCTGATTTCCATTTTAGAAATGAAAGTATTAAAAGAAGTTTCTGAAATTTTTCGTTTTCAGCGTTGTAAAATTACCAAAAGTATTCAGTAAAAGTTACGATTACATACATTTGCTTTGAACATAATGGATGGAACGTTAGCGGAGATTTTGAAACACTAAAATCAAGAAATGCCTTCTCTCCACCCAGCGTTTCTATTGGATAGTGATTAGGAAACTAACAGGACCGGATTTAGGGGGTGGCGACATGGGCCGCGGCCCATGCCGGCAAATTTAGGGGGCGGCAACTTTTGCATTTTTTTTTTAAATTTAGGTATAAAACAAATTGGATTCAGAGAAAAAATTACTTACGAGAAAAGGCAACAATATCTCTCATCTCCTGAGAGTAAAGTATTTTCTAATTTTGTCGTCTTTTAGTGATACAAAAAGCAGCACCTTTAATTAGTCGAGTTAAGAGAGAAACGAAACACGCAATTTGGCTTGGAGCGGCGCGGTGCAAAGAGCAATGATGACGAGGACTTGAAATGAAAAGGAAAAGCCCTCGGTGCGGCAGTTGGCGTGTAACACATATTAGCGCCTGCAAGGCTGCATGAATACTTCACGCATTGCGTCAAACACAGTGCGGTAACAGTGGTCGGCTTGAAACGCACAGCGCCTACAAGACCGCATGAATACTTCACTCATTGCGTCAAATACACCGCGGTCAGCGTGAAACGTATAGCGAGCGCCTACAAGGCTGCATGGGTACTTAACGCATTGCGTCAAACACAAGGCGGTAACAGTGGTCGGCGCAGAACGCATAGTGCCTACAAGACTGCAGGAATACTTCAAGCATTGCGCCAAACAGTGCGGTCAGTGCGGCGCGGGGGCGGAAGTTAAAATTATTATTTATGTTTGTTCTTGCATAATTTCTTCGTTCATTTCTTACACATGAGAGGCCTTGTCCACACAGAGATAGTTTGTTAGTAGTGTTGACAGGGCTTCCGCCAAAAATGTGTCCAACACGACAAACCGCGTCTTATGCACCCCTCCCATGAAAGCATGGATTCTAATGTAAATCAGGACTCACGTAGACATTAAGATACGCCCTTGCATTAGGCGAGCACGATCTGTGAAGCGGAAGGATTCGGGTTAAATTGAGTTGTGTCATGGCTGGGTTTGGGGGAATTCTATACAAAAAGTCTTGATCCGAGGAATATCAAAATTTAATTAAAACAAGTTGCTACAAGCAAATTTCACAACGAGCTGCTTCCGCTTACTAAAAATAAAAACAAAACAATAGAGAATTTGCAGGTGTCTGAAATTTGATGAATTTCGTGTTTTAGTGGAAACTACTGAGTGAACTGAGCACGAGGATGCCCTTGGTTCGTAAATTGAACGATTATTGGAGAATATATTACATAATGATCTAACCTGCTAAAATACATGTGTTTAAATGGAAAATGCCGCCGGATGACGTCACTAGGCGGTGCATTTTCTCACTTTTAAATGTATTTTTATACTATTCCCCATATCAGAAAGAAATTATGAAAAATACTGTGAAATCATCAGCTCTTTAAGCACTTTCAGATGAAGCAATAAAAAATTTGCATGCGAATTCTCCATTGACTCTTTTTCTGTCAAAATTGATCTTCGTGGTCCGTTTCTGCCAAATTCGGAGTAAATATTTAATGAAAACCATGTCAAGGTTTTCAACTGGGCAGTTTCCAAATGAACCCGTTGTCTTGAAATTTTAGATTTATTACCCATGATTTTTCCTGCCACGAAGCGGGAGGGATCTACAAAGGGTGGGTCGCGTCGCTGCATGCACTCTTGTCCCCTCATATTTCTCGAATAGCCAGTGCAAAACCTCTTCTGCCATTCTGTGGAAAGACGTCGCATGAAGGTTAAAATGTTGCCAAATTTATTCAAATTAGATGCACATTTTCTGTAAGAGTTTGATACGTGTGAACATTATTCTTCGAATTTTTCAGAGACTTGTATTCGCAACTCACAAAATCCAATTGTCTCGAAAAGTGCAAGACAAACATGATCATAAAACACAGTGAACGATGAAAAAAATCAAGTCAAAGGCCAAATAATTCAGTATATTCAACTACATGATGTTAACATTCACAAGAAGCAATAGATGAAAATACAACTCATAAAAAATTCTTGACAATGGCAGACAATTCGACCTCAAAGACTAGGGCTCGTTGTAAAGAATTTTTTGTGATGTGTATTTTCATCTGCGCTTGTCGTGTAATTAAAATCGGGTAGTTGAACACACTGATTTATTAGGCTTTTAGCTCGATTTTTATATCATTCACCATGTCTTTAGTAGCTTAGCCAGCCAAATTCGGCATTATACAGGGTGATCCAGTGTTAAACGGCCAGACTGCAGGAGCCGAAACATCCTCAAACCCCCTCTTCAGATCGAGTTTTCGATTTTTTTTAAATCATTAATGAATTCAGGGCAAAAAAGTATAGGGAAGTACACATTTTCATGAGTTTTGGTCCCCGACCGTTGCCAAAATTCTGGAAAAATGATTTATTTTCCGAAAATTTGGGAGCCGTAGCTCCGACTGAGGGCACTTTTGGAAATATTTTCATGCAACAAAAAAGTCGTATTTTGACCCTCGGAACACGCTCCTGTAGTCTGGCTGGTTTAACCCTGAATTACCATGTTTAAAATATTAATTTTTCTGAAAAAAATAAATAGTTCATCCGATGAAAGTCAACAATAGATTTGGCGATTCATACGGCATTTTCCCTTACGCGGCAGTCATTATCATTCACCCTGTCTCTAATAACTTAGCCAGCCAAAGGCATTAAAATATGGATTATATTTTTCATTAAGGAACCACTAAGTCTGGCTCTTTCATAAAAGCACGTTTCTGTATGGGGAAACCAATGGCATATGTGTTGTTTCTAAAATGAGCCGGAAATAGTGCTTCCTTATTGCAAAATGTAATCCATATACAATCTCAATTTTTCTCGAAAAAGTAGTTTATCAGATGAAAGTTGGCAACAATAGATTTGGCGATTCATACGGCCTTTTTCTTTTCCCTGGCGCGGCAGCCCGGTCGGCAATTTCCGCTTATTCTTCCCGACAGTAGCCAGTCAAATCTACAATCCAAGCAAGAGCGCTAGCACCGATTCCAATCGGATAAGGGGGGGGGGGCAGTCGTCGGGGAGGACGGGGGTTGCTGCAATGCGTCGGCGCGGCGTCGCGGCGCTTTGACGCCCTGTTGTCGCCTGCATCGCGACGCTGCCGCCGACGTCGGGTCGAACCCAGTTACGCCGCCGCGCCGGCCGGCCGCCCATCCCGACAGTTTGAGGTTAGCTCGCCGCTCCCGCACGCGGAAAATCGCGATTTCCCGGATTTTTCGCCGTGTCGCGGGTTTTTGAATGACGTCATCGTCGGTGCGTCCTTCGATCAGTCGGACTTTGGAACTGGTCTCGTAATTATTCTTCTTCTTCATGCGTTCGCGTTTCTCGCTGGGTCTTTGTATTCTTAGAGTGAAACAGACTACCATCTCCACCTAATTTCAGAAACGGCGTATGCGTTATTTTAGTTTCTTTATGCATTTAGATGCTTTTATGGATGAGCTAGGCATTGTAGTTCCCTGTCCCAAAATGCAGTTCATCAAGTAAAGCGAAACCAGCAGAAAGGAACCAACTACGTAGGGTTCCTAGTGTCAGGGCTCAGGGCTAAAGCGAAAATCATCGCGAATTGTGGTTAGGGAATTTAAATCGTGACTGAAGAATTTTCCGACTTGAAGTGTCGCAGCGAGACAAAGTATATACAAAGTATTGTTGTTATGACATGATAGTCATATGGGACCATCTGTGGAAAAGGGAATCTTAGTCTACAAAAACTCTAAATTGTATTATTGACACAAGCGGATAGAAAAGTGTTCTATGAAAGTTTAAAGGCATTCATACCAAACAAATTTGAATCAAACCAGAACTATATCGGTTTGAAGGTCGAAGCTCAAAAATTGTTGTGTCCATTAAAAACCTATTTGCAATTAATTCCTATCCGTAGTGCTCAAGGTGTGAAATTGACGGATCGTAATGCAGTTTTACGCTCTCTTTTGGCACAAAAATGAAGTAATTCTCTCGTGCCTTACCATTTGGGATTCTGAATAGTTTTCGGTCAGTACCTCAAAATTCGACCTCACTAGACAAAATTTGCTGTACTAAAAAGTTTACCATAGAGGACTGCAGTCTTTTTCCCCATCGATGCTCACTCGTCATCCGGCTGGGTTTTCAGGAATTCGCCTGGAAATTACCGGGATCGAGTATGCACATCTTTTCAGGTGTTTTAGTTTAAATTTTGAACAAAATCGTCTGAAAAATTGGAGGAAAAACATTCAGAATTTTCCTAGTAAATTCGTTTTTTTATCGAAGCAAATATAGCAGCGTCTGAAATAGGCTCATACGGCTTTCCTCCTTAGCACGGTAGAAATGGGAGTAAGCGAGGTCTATATACTTGTAGACGCACGTTTTCCTAACTAGAAAGCAGGGCATTCGCAGGAACGGAAGTTTCTCTATCGATTGCCCGCGATGGATGACGTCACAGTAAATCCTTCCATCGCAAGTTTCCACCGAGAGCTAACTCGCCAAAGGAATCTCCTATCGCTCGTTAATGAAATGAAGCCGTAGAAACAATCGTATTCGGATTTTGTTTTTCAATCAGATGTTTCGTTTGCGAACGTCGAGTCCAGTCCCAACGATAATTCCTGAGCTCGATTATTTTCTGTTGAAACTAAGCTCCTCTTCGTCTAAACGTCTTCGTCAATGTGTGGGTTTGCGCGTGTTTATCATTCGGATTCTTTCGTGACTTTCTAGTTGTAAAACTGTTGAAAGCGGAACTTGTGTACATTGCTTTCTAAATTTGACGATTTTTTATTCTGAATTGTTCACAATCTGTCCCTGTTTTGCTAATTATTTGCATTTTTTTTCAAATTCAATACTAAGTAAAAATGAATATTTCACTTAGACTTGTTTATACACATCTATTCAAGATTTATTTAAAAGAATAATTTGATGAATGATCGTCAACTCGACAAATTCATTTTATTCATTGTAGCAAACTTTTATCTGCTCAATATTTTCTTTACTAACTATAAAAGTTATGGTGTTACATTGAAGATAAATTGCTTTATGCTATTTTTAATTGAAAACTTTACTCTCACTTTCTGACACTCGACCTCATCCTCCTGCTCTTCGATGGAAAGACTAGCGAAGCAGTTGGGTGGCGTGCTTTACGGTGTATCGATTGATCTGCCATTTATACGTATGGAAAAGAATCGATAAACAGGGTGTTCGTAACGAACACCTCAATAATCGATTCTTTACCATAGCTCCAAATGAAGAAATATCGATTATCGATCAGTCACGCCTCGCCACTGTAGTGAAGCCCAGAAATCCCAACTAAGATTTTCTCAATAAGTGTGCGTTTTATTCAGTGTCGAAGGATTCAGTGGAGTTCAGCCTGCGATTTATCGATAATTTCTTATTCGAAGAGCACCTCTCACGCGAACTTTAACGCTCGATTAAGTTACCTAAACTTTATTTCCGTGGGGTGTATCGCGTATGAATTTGTTTCAAAACTATGGTTTTAATACTTGACATCACCGCATTTCTTCTTTCTTCGTGACTCGGGCACTGATCTTCGACTCTTTCGTGTGAGCCGTCTACCCGTCCAACAGAAACTGGATCTTCGTCATTCCTAGCAGCATGGAGTCGCCCCATAGCACTCTTCAGCGTCGATTCAATGTTAGTTGAAATTTTTTATTTTTTACTGCCTACGGAAAAGGGGTTTATCTACAAGAAGGGCATTTTTTTAGGAGAATGTCTCTTCGCGAAAATTGATCGAAAAACTGGCAGTCTAATTTTTGGTGGGAAACTCTCAAATAGTTCTAGGACCGAGTTTTAAGCTGTTGATTTCATTGTTGTTCTGAAAGAATAGTTATGGTTTGAGCCACAGTGCGATACAACTATGTTAATCATCAACGAGTTCTGTGGTAAAAAATACCGTAACTCGAATCTAATTCACCGTAAGTATGGTAAATGCTCCCCGATGTCTGGTTATCTTTACTCTACAGTATCACTGTGCCGAAAATCAAGTGGACTCATGATAGAGTGTGCCGTACTTCTGGAAATATACTCTTTTTCAGTGTCTGCCAGTAAAGGACATATCTTCTTCATGCCAGTTCTAATACATTTTCAAGAAAGAAGCGCCATTGGTACTAATATATTTATATTTATTTTTTCAATTATTTTTCCATTTCTTAAGTTTGAATATTAATGTGTACCTTTTTTTGCAGAATGTGCTGCGCGAATTGGAGCAGAAGAAACCGCAGCTGGATGAGCTGGTTCACACAGCCGAAAATCTTCGTGCTGACTCCAACCGCCAACAGCTTCATGGCAAAGGTAGGGCCTCATCTTTCTTTGGGTGCATTTTTTAGAATCGTCAGTTACTTTGCCGTGCAAAAACCAAACGCTGTATGAATATTTGAAAGTTGCGAAATTTGCAGTGGTAAGAAATTGATTTTTGCCAAAATTGATAAATATTTCGTAACGAAATTTGCAAATGCTTTCGGGTGAATTGCGAGTGAAATTCGTTCAAGGTCCGAATATTCACACAGTGTTTTTCTTCAGCACGATTGTACAGAGTAATCAGCGACCTAGATGAGGGTTTTTCTTATCAATGGATGTATGTAAAAACGCGAATACTTCGCAAAAAATTGACTGGTCGCAGGAAGGAGCGTTTCCATTGCGGGCGCACCAATTTTCGCTTTAGTGGCCGGGAAAATTAGGGAATACCGTGAAAATTAAATAAACTGAACGATTCCTTTCTCCCTAAAAATAATCACTGATATTCTATGTTTTTCCTGTTGTGGTTTGAAAAATGTACAAAATCGATTCCCTCCTTAATTTGTCGATGGTCAGAGAATTTTGTACGTTCTGATCTCAGAATCTATGAGACTGTAAGAGAAAATCGGAAAATTTTAGTCAGGCTGTTAGGAGTTTTCATTTCACCTGGAAAGAACCGATGATCTAGGAATCATCAACCTGTGATTCAGGAAATCATTCTTCTCAGCCACTGCCAACATCGTAGTCTGACCCGAGGAAGCGCAAAGAAATGAACCACCCGAGTTTGAGGAGGAGGAGCGGGAATTTCCTCTGCATCTGAAAGTGATCGAACATCGGTGATCGATCATTCGGAGACTTTTTATCGAGGTTGCATATCAGGCAGCGAGTACAACCGTTTTAATTTCAGCCGATTTTCACGCGAATGATGAACGGACTAAGGAAAAACGCCGTTTGAACATCTGAGAGTTGCCAAATTTCCCTCGATACAAGGTTTATTTTCGAAGAATATTAGGAATATTTTTCTTTGAAATTTTCTAGATTACCTGTATAGAGAGAGTATAGACAGATGTGAAACTCCGAAAATCCATCAGGCCTTCACCGATGCCTCCGCGAATAAAGTTAGGGCCCAGAAATGCAGCCAACCTATGAATTTCAATTATCCAGAGCGATTTATTAATACAAATGTTACGAACCATCGTTTATAAAGCACGTATTTGACTTAGTTTTTGCATAAATTTACTCATTTTTGTGGAAGAACGCTCATTTATGTACTTTCTTAGCCATCTTCGTTAGAATTGGAATCAACAGACTGGCAGTGAAATTTTGTGCGTTAGAAGTTGGTTAGAAGGGTGGCTGCCTTTTTGGGCCCTAAGCCCTCCATGAAGCGATCTGTCCATACTCTCGCTATACAGGTACTCTAAAATTTTCAGGAGCTTTAGATTAAATTGCGAACGAAATTATCTGAAAATTTTAAAGAAAAATATTCATACGTTTACTAGGAAATTCGTGTTTTATCGAAGGAAATGTGGCAACGCCTGAAGGTTCATACGGCGTTTTTCCTTAGTACGTCAGAATGATGAACGGACTATCTGCAGAAAAGAGGGCTTCTGGCATGAAGCTCGTATCTTTATTCATGGGGAGAAAGAGTGGACCATGCGTCGAAGAAAAGTCTGGGGTTTCGACGATAGAGTAGAGGTAGTGAGTGTTGCAACATCAATGCGTGTTTTCTTTTTAAAATTTTACGCGCTTCCAGACTTGTGACGTCTTGGAAAGTCTGTGAACATACTTCATTCCTCCCTCTTAATTTTTCAATTCCTCAAGTTATGATATAATTTTACTCTTATATTTGGCGCCAAAAGCCAGGAGTATATCGTTGGGATTGTGCACTGGCGAATGCAACAAAGTGGCAACATTGTTTTGCTTCATTTAAACCTATGGAAATGTATCGGTTCTTGGAGGGGCCAGGTTCTCCAAAAAGAATCGATTAGTTAGCATAGGTTTTAATGGAGAGAATCCGTTGTTGCCAAATTGCTGGATCCGCCTCTGGGATTGTGATCCTTTTTACCGCCATGATATTTTATGTTCCATTCAACAACTAATTTTAAGTAATATTCTGATGTAAAATTTGCGGGAATTTTCTTCAATGGCAAAGAAATGTATAAACATGTTTCAAGAAGCTGAGTTGTTGACTTATAATATTGACGTGAAACGTATTAAGGATGATCCTGGTTCAAGTTTCAAAAGTTTTTTCCTTTAATACATATATTTTTTCATCAATTTAAATGAGAATAATCCATGTAGAGTGTGTAAACATTTCAAAATCATAAGTTGAAAAACGCAAACTCTGCGAGTTTTAATATTAGAGCCTAAAGCCGGCTCCAGACTACGCGGCATTCGCCGAATATTACTCGCCGAATACCGAATATTTGGCAAGTCCCGCGTAGTCTGGATGGAACATTCGCGTCGACTTGGCTCGTGTTGACGCGAGGCGAGTCACTCGGCTCGGTATTCGCCCCAACCCGCTGAAAGTCGGTTTTTGTGACACGAGTCAAAGGGATCGCGAGCGCGAAGCCGAGCGTCCATCGCGACATCAGGGCAACATCGGGGTGCCATCCAGACTACTCGTCCTCACTCGCCGAATGTTCGCTATAGTTTTGTAGGAAGGGGGCGAAGAGGTGTAGCGTTTTCCATTGTTTTTTCTTCACTTGGCGAACATTCGTCCTTTCCCATCAGAAATTCGTTATTTGCCAAATGACGAGCCAAGTACGACTTTCACGAGTAGTGTGGCGCTGTACACTCGTGGAAATACTCGAATCTGCCCGTCGCTTCCCGAACCCCGAATATTCGTTACTCGGCTCGGCACTCGGCGAATGCCGCGTAGTCTGGAGCCGGCTTAACACACAGCGGAGCAGCGTGCTGCCAGTACTAAACGCTCTCTGGCGCTTACAAACCTAAGGGGATACTTCACGTATTGCGCAATGATTGAAGTATCCCCTTAGGTTTGTAGGCGCCAGTGCGCATTTCGTGCTAGCAGCACGCTGCTCCGCTGTGTGTTAGGCTCAGTTAGGCTCTAATATTAAAACTCGCCGAGTCAGCGTTTTTCAACTTATGATTTTGAAATGTTTACACTCTCTACATGGATTATTCTCATTTAAATTGATGAAAAATATGCGTATTAAAGGAAAATATAACGTGTGTTTTGCTAAAATTAAGGTGGTTCCATGTCAAATTTAATGATTTCCAAAGCAGGGAAACTCCTTAAAAAAGTTTTTGATTGTTGAAGTTGATGCTAAATCAACCAATTTTCTCGCATCGGAACTATCAGGGTTGCCACAGTCAGTAAATACCGAGAAAACCGGGAAATGTCAGGGAATTTTTAGAGTCAGGGCAAACCTGGAAATGTCAGGGGAAAATTGTCGAATCACCTTCATTTGCTTTCTCGAATAAGTTTGACCTTTCGAACAAGAAATTTTGCCTGAAAACTATTTCCGATTTTCTTTTTAAAAATCTAGCATTTGCTCAATTTTTAGGAAATCTCACAGAAATGTGCCAGGGAAATCAGGGAATTTAATTTCCAAACTCTGTGGCAGCCCTGAATTATTTTCGCGCCGAGCTCGATGGCGATGGTAGCACAGCGCGAAACAGCGCACACATCAAGGGTGGCATTATTCGATTATACGATTTAACGATGTTTATTCTTAGTATAGCTACGCCTTCATGTTCCCCTCTTTCATTGCTTCTGTCCATTTGAACATAGCGGCGTTTGTAAACATTATTTTTCCACAAAAGAGCGCCGCGTTAATGTCGCTTCGAGTATTGACAAGGCGTGAATGATCGACTATCGATATTTCCCCATATAAAGCTGTGGCAAAGAATCGATTATTCAGGTGTTCGGTACGAACACCCTGTTTATCGATCCTTTTCCATAGGTTTAGATAGCAGATCAATCGATATATCGCAAATCACGCCTTCATCGTTGGCTTCGAGCCGATTCCGTCGAAATAATTCGGTCCTGCCATCTCCTCGAAGGAGATTCGATTACATTTTGCAGTAAGAAACTATAGAAACAACATATGTGCTACTAGTTTCCTCATGCAGATCGGTGCTTTTGTGCATGAGCAAGAGGTGTGTGAAAGTGTTCTCCATCTTACTTTGAAAAGATAGGCAAGTGCATACTTTTTTCCTATGAGGACCAACTTACGGAATTGATAATGCACTCTTTACAGTAAGCAACTTGGCGACCGACTCCCAAATTCTGTGTTCAGAATGTCTTTTAACCCTTAGATGTCCGAGGCGGGTCAAATTGACCCGAAGATTGCTAAAAACACGTGGCCCGCGGATTGGGGCCAATACATACGAGCTTTTGATGTAGATTCACAAATGTATCGTGAAAAAGGAATCAGACATTACTCGGGTTAAACTATTCTGCTCAATCTAAGCGACGCGTTCTTGGCAGCAAAGAGCGGAGCATTACGAATTCACGCCTCGCGTCATCGCGCCTTCAATTTTGCAGATGCAACTCGGATATCCATCAAGCACGAATAGTTGTATCTCTGCGCCGTCATCCACGCGCGTCCTTTTTCTTTCTCTATTTCCTTGTTGTGTCGGTTCCGATGTTTTATTTGTAGTGGTACAAGAGGGCTACTTGAGAACCATAGCCGAGGACAGGAGATATGTATTCCGGCCTCGTTTTTTAAATTTTCTCCCGAATCTGAGTGACACTTCATCGGTAACATAGAACAGAGCTTTGCGAGTTCACGCCTCGCGTTATGGCGCCTTCAATTTTGTAGATGCAACACAGATATCCATCAAGTACGAATAGTTGTATCTCTGCGCCGTCATCAACGTGCGCTGAGGTGTTTCTTATTTTCGATATCTTAGAAAAGCTATGTTCAAGCTCGCTCAAAATATGCCATGATCTGTCTAGATTAACAATTATTTCGAAAAAGAAAAAAAAAAGTAAAGTAAAGTTTAGAAGTCTTTAAAGCGCAGTAACGACCGCTCTTCTACTCCTAGAAATTGCAAGCCGGGTCAAACTGATATCTCGTCTGGGGAAG